GCCGGTGCTGCGCTGATCCGAAGCCAGGAGCCAGGAACCTCTTCCACACGGGTGCAGGGTCCCAAGCCTTTGGGCCGTCCTCAACTGCTTTCCCAGGCCACAAGCAGGGAGCCAGATGGGAAGTGGAGCAGCCGGGATTAGAACCAGTGCCCATATGGGATCCCAGCGTGTTCAAGGTGAGAACTTTAGCCACTAGGCCACCCCGCCAGGCCCCAGATTGATTTATTTTTATTGGAAAGGTAGATCAGATTTATGAAGAGAAGGGGAGACAAAGAGATCTTTCCATCCACTGGGTCACTCCCCAAATGGCCTCAATAGCTAGAGCTGAGCCGATCTGAAGCCAGGAGCCAGGAATTCTCCCAGGTTGGTGCAGGGTCTAAAAGCTTAGGGTCATCCTTTGCTACTTTCCCAGGTCACAATCAGAAAGGAACTGGATGAAAAGTGGAGCAGCCAGGATATGAACTGTCTTTGTCCTAGCCAGTAATCAGGTATTGCCTTTGTATAATTAAGAGATAAAAAGCAGTGTCATATTGGAAATTGTCTCCTACAAAATCATGAGGCCAGCAGTGCAAGGATGATGTGACAATACCATAATGCTGTCCATATTGTGGCAACCAGTCTTTATACTCCTATGTGAAATCTTCCTTCCATCCTGAAAGTCATCTCATGACTAAAAGCTGTTCACTGCAGCAATTGCTGTGATGTCTCACGGAGGAAGGAAAGACACATGCTAACTAGGGCAACCTCATGTTTTAGATGACTTTGTCCAACCAACCAGACCCCTTCAACCAAAAAAAAAAGTCAGACAGCTGTCGCTATTTGCCAAGATGATTTTAAAAAGTACTTTTTCTTGCTGTATGAATACATAACCATTAAAATGGGACTCTTCCCGATGGGGGAGGAGTAAATAGTGGCTCACAGGCAAGGCAGGAGGAATACAGTTGTTTTGTGTTTTCCAAGAAGCATTGGGCTGCTAAGCATCAAGGACCGAGGCTGTGAGGATACAAAGCTATAAAGAGGTCAATACCAAAGTACTTGATCTTATCTGCAGTCAGAAAGTTCTCAATGTCATTGTCTTATTAATGTAATTAGAAGCAATCTCCAATAGGAAGATTCGTTTGTCAAGTTTGCTTAACAGCCACAGTAAATCACATCTCAAGTAATTATGGTTCCTCTTCTCTGAAATTAATACTAGTGAAAGCTTTTGTTTAACCTGATGATTTCATATCTTTTAATTATAGGGATTGATAGTTATCAATTCAGTTATGACACTTCTGCAGCAAGAATGTGGCATTGGTGTTACCTTTGCTCCCAGTCTAGAATGCAGAGTTTAATTGTAACCTTCTCCCCCATTCTGCCCCACAGTCATTCTGTTCAGCTCTGTCAGAAACAATTAGTGTCTGAACATTTTTAAGCCAAAAATAAAAGACAGAAATTACATTTGAAAATACTGCAAAAAGGTAATTGAAAAACTTAATTAAAAGTATACATTTTCCATGAATGTTTAAAAATACCCTCATATTTTCAACAGTTTTTTAATTGAAAAATTTAATAAAAAATTAATCTCTATAGCTGGGAAGGGTCTGACATCTTTAAATAGATGGTAATGTTGACTCATATGAACAGCATCCAAAGCTCATTTGACTGTGCATTCAAACAATATATGGGTACATTGTAGTATTTTGCAAGTTAATCACATCAAAATAGGAACACACAATGAAAATAAGATAGGGCTGTAGAAAATTCATAGCTCCCAGGAATAAACAGCATTTACAGCATTTTTTACAGCTAAAGTAATTGTGTTTTGTGAGGAAAAAGCTAGGGAGAATACTATTGAGAATGAAGTGGCTGCTCTCTCTCAGAATCTCCCCTTTATATTTTTGTCAGAAAAACTGAATAGAATACTAATGGCTTCTACCTCCTTATACTATATCTTTTATACTTTATCAATTTTTAAATGCTTATCTTGGGCTCTGTACAGAATTAAAGTCTACAAATGATAAAATGTAAATTAGGAATATGTTGGCATGTGTATGTTGGGATATGAACTAGAGTAAGGGAAAATGAGGCACTATGTGCTTTTTCAATTATTTTACTAAAATTTTACTAAAATTTTAAGAAGAAAAGTGTAAAGCAATGAGAAGAATCTTAAAGGAAAATTAGTCTGTCTCCCATTGCAACCACAGTCAAGATCCTCCAATTTCCCTAGTAAATAATACACAAGCAGAAATACAAGCACAAGTTAGGAAGCCCAGTGATTAGTGTGGGTAAAAGAAACATGTCTACCTCTTTTTTTACAGGAAAGAAATTTATAAAGATGATGATTGTTGAGGTTTAGATAGAACATGGCTCCCAAACTCATGCAGCCATTTAATCTATGAAGTCATAAGTAAATCATACTGATAGAGTGGAAAAAATACAGCTGTTTTAAAATGCAGTCCTGGTGGGAGATTCTTTGGTCAGTGGGTGTATGTGCCCTTAGAAGGTAGGTCTTATGAAAAGGTTAGTTACAAACACTTGAGAATTGGACCTAGCCATTCTCTGCTTTCTTGCTTGTGGTATATCTCCAATGTGCGTTTGCAGTGTGACAATCTGCACTGCCTCAAGACCATCAGCAAGAATGCTGGCACCAGATCTGGCATCAGTGGGACCTGCCTGGTCTTCAACTGCGAACCTTCAGAGCTGGGAGCCAAAGGAAATTATATTTTTTTCCCTAGCATCCTAATGAAATCCAGAGATTTCAATACAGCAATGGAAAACTAATACAGTGATTTTGTTAGGACTTTCTGAGTTTCAAAATGTAAAGATTCAGCTTGAGCCAATTTAAGCAAGAAAAATTTCTCTTTTGAGTATTTGACTGCAGGAAGAATAGGAGGCAGGAAATAGAGGATAAAATTCAGACATCAGCAGATCTTTGCCTCCTTCGCCCCATCTCATTTTCATAGTCTATCTGTGTTGCTTCCTGTTCCTCAGGAACAATAAAATCATAGCCATTTTTTTTAACCCCAGGTAATCCTCCTTTCAAGCACATGAAAGAAGTTTCTGCCAGCTCAACTTAGAAGAAATTGGCCTCTGAAAACCAAATCAAAAACAGCATGATGGTGGGGACTAAGCATGGGCAGTTGAAATAAACACTGCAAGTCAGGAATCTAATGACATTAGGGAGACATGCATCTAGTGATCTGGGAAGCCTGACACAGTGCGAACATGCGTTAAGGAACACCTGTGGTTTATCATTGCTTCTGGTGTCACTGGCTACCTGACTCTGAAAAAAGTGACCATCTTTAAGATTCTGGCTACTCTCAGGGCATCAGAAGGCTTCAGGATGCACCAGCAGAATGGCGCAGAATTTATGGAGTTTATATGTAAGATGCTTTCTCCATCTTCACCTCTACACCTTCAAGGAACAGTCCTTATTTTTTGAACAGATGTGGTACATCTCAGGTTCATACCACAGTGAATTTCAGATACCCGATGAATTTATATTAACTGCCAATTTCTCCTAAATGCTTCAGCTCTTCCCTGACACTAAGGAAACCTTGAGAATGTTCATACAGAAAACCAATTTTATTAAGGTACTACTGCAAAGCTCAAACGAGTAAAGAATCATTTAATTGGTGTCATTCCCATTGCCCTTCCTCACATTTCTTTTCATTTTCTTCACATGAAGTTGAAAAGTGAGGATCGTGCATGTTCAAGCAAGCACACGCTTTTACCAGCAGAATGGACCAGCAGAATGATGCAGAGTTTATAGAGTTTAGATGTAAGATGCTTTCTCCAAACTCATTGTCACTCTGAAAAAGTTCCTCATCTCCGTTTTGCTTGAGTGCACTGAAACCTTATTTCTGGATTCTGTGTCATAACAAGGTTCTCAAAGACCTAAAACTTCTCCAACCACTTGTGACTGTCAGGAGAAAACTCCATAATTCGTCCTGAAGGCTGGATGTGTTCATGTCAAATAGTAAAGAATACTGTTCTAAGTGCTGAGGCTAGCAGTGACTAACGGTACAGACTGAAGGAAGGAAAACTATGATGTTTATTTTCAGGACAGGTTAAGTCAGAGATGATGTCTATTGTTAGTGACATGTTCTGTGGACTACATAATGACTTGGCCTTTCCTGTGCATGAATTCAAATCAGACAGTCCAAAGCAGGCAGGACATAGCAACTTCATTTTTATTCTGAAGGAATGCATGTATGTTTGAATATTAAATCCAAAATACCCGAGGTTTTCTTAACAGAGAAATAAAGCTCTTCGGAACAAGTGTTAATAATTTTTTTTGTTTTACATTATTATACCAAGGTAACAACAGCATATATATTTTATGTGTTTTTGGAGGAGGAGTACTAGCAAACTGTGGATGAATTATGTTAAACAACATTTTTTAAATTCCCATTTTTAAAAAATTTGACAATTTCGAAGTTTACAAAAAGTTTTGGTGGTGTTTTTAACAAACATTAAGCATTAGCAGCAGGTACATTTTTCTGCAATAGCCTTGATCGCTATCCGTGCGCTACTTTCTGTGGCACCTGCCTCCCTGGCGCTGCAGTGAGCCCTTTAGATGTCCTCTGGTTCGAACTTAGCTTTCAGTTACCTTTCAGAAATCTACAAAGGTTGAATAGGACTAGGTGAGTGGAGCCTTGGTTACCACTTCGGAAAGGTTGCCAATGCTTTCTGGGCAGCTTGGACCATTATATTGGTCAGAAATACAATGTTTTATACAGTTCAACGGTGCATGGATTATAATGTGGGGAAAGTAACCACCCCCCTAAAAAGGAAGTTGACAAAATTGTTTTCCTGACAGATCTAAGCTCTTAAAGGATGCTCTTGGATTACCTCAAAATTATTTACAAAAAAACAACATGCATATTCACATTTGGAGACCCTACAAGAAAAAATGAAATGTTGATCTACTATTCACAACTGAGAGCATATTGGAACTTGAAAGATGTTTCCCCCAAATGATATAAAGTCTAATACCACTTATGTCTCTAATCCAGTTAAGATCTTTGTTTCAGAGAGATGCATAGTTTCTGTGTTTCACCCTCCTGTGTGTCACAAAATAGCTTTTCTTCGGGTTGTCGAAGTGTGCCTGTGACAAAGCCTAACTGCTGATTCTGGCGTAGAGCAGGGGCTGCCATCTCACTACATTCAGCATATTTGAAGTTATGACATTCACACACTGAGGACTTAAGGGTTTTAAGATATTTTTTGATGCAGCACTTAATGAAGCACTTGAGAGCCAAAAAGCTCAGTTCAATGAAATTCAACACGATGCACAAGCATGAAGTGATGATCAAAAAGAGGATGAAGATGGTTTTCTCAGTGGGTTTAGAGATGAAGCAGTCTACAGTGTTAGGACAAGGCTTCAAATCACACTCCAAAAGGTAGGGAACACGAAAGCCATCGTAGAGCTTATAAAACAAAACAAGGAAGCCAATTTCAAAACCAGTTTTAACGATGAGGCTGATGACGTAAGTGCACCATAGGCCCCCATCCATTGTACCTGGACTCACATAGAGTTTCTTTTTGTGCTTTTTCTCTCTCCCCTCACGATAGGCTACATGTAGAACTACCAGAAGAGAAGGTGTGGAAACCGTAATCAGCTGTAAGGCCCAAAGTCTAACCTGGGATATGGGGAAGAAGTGGTCAAAACACACAGTTTCACAACCAGGCTGTCTAATGTTGCATTCAAATTCTTTCTGTTCATCTTTCCAGACATGTTCTGCTGCTACTATGTAGACCAGTAAACGGAAGATGAACACAACAGCCAGCCATATCCTCCCAATCCCAGTTGAGTATGTATTTACTCCACTTAGAAGGTCTCTGAGGAACATCCAACTATGTCTCAGTCTCAAAAGATGGCAAGATTCTGCAAAAGAAAACAGTTTCATCATGACTCATTGCTATTCCAGTGATAATTTGTACCCTTTAACTTGAGGGGATGATAAGAAACAAACTCCAATTTCTACCTTGTAGCATCTCTGGGTGTTAAAGGCACTCTATGGGACCAGGTGTAATAGCCTAGTGGCTAAAGTCCTTGCCTTGCATGCACCAGGATCCCACATGGGAGCTGGTTTGTGTCCTGGCTGCTCCACTTCCCATCCAGCAACCTGTTGTGGCCTTGGAAAGCAGTGAAGGCCTTGGGACCCTGTGCCTGGTTGGGAGACTCAGAAGAAGCTCCTGGCTCCTGGCTTCAGATCAGTTTAGCTCTGGCTTTTGCAGCCACTGGGGAAGTGAGCCAACAGATGAAGGATTCTCTTGTCTCCTCTCTGTAAATTTGATTTGCTAATAAAAATAAATAAATCTTTTTTTAAAAGACTTTTTTAAAAAGGCACTCTGCTAATCCCATAGAATGTGCTCATCTGTCATTCAAGGACGTGACACAACAGATCTGTGGACATACTTGTTCCCATGCCCAGTTTAATTTGAAGTTTGGGTCATTGTCACTCTCTCACATTCTACCACATTTTCAAGCAATTATGTGATCCCTTAGTGGCTCTGGTACCCTGACACCCCACATACCTGACTTTTGAAGTTACAGTCTCAGTTTCTCCACTTGGTTAATACTCCTCCCCCCCATGGAGTGTTCTCACCGTGTTAGCTGCTCCTACTCCCTATTCCCTTACCAGCAGCTGGGCTTGCCTACAAAGCTTCCTCAAACTGCTGCTCCAAATGGACCTGCATTCATACTCAAATTTCTTTACCAGTTTGCAGAGAGAGAGGCTCCTTTTTCTTGTTTCAAAAAAAGTTCGTATATACTCCATTTTTTGTGTGAGGATTTCCCATGAAATGCATATTTAGAAAATAAATGATACATGAATTACAAATATTTTTGTTCCAATATAAATATCTTTTGATTTAATTTTCCAGAAGCATTTTAAGTACTGTCATCAATTTCCCCTGACCTCTTTCTTTTAGCATATAAATATGCTTAGGTTCTATTTTTAGCTGGCTGGCTATAGAAGGAGTGGGAAAATTTTTGAAAAGTAGGCCATGGGTCATTAAAGCTGTAATATATGTGTGTGTGTGTGTGTGTGTGTGTGTGTGTGTGTGTGTGTGTTTATGTATATATATACACACACATATAGCATATATATATATAATAACATATATAGTATGATATTCTTAACCATTGCTTTGGCAAAGATATGTTTGCAGCAGTATTGACATACGCAACCATGTCTATCTTTTCTAGCCTTTGATTTTTTTTTTTAATTTTAGCTTGCACATATAAGGGAGAACATGCAATATTTATATTTCTCTGATTTATTTCACTCAATATTCTCCAATTACGTGCATTTTGCCATAAATGATAAAATTTAATTCTTTCTGTGACTGAATAATATTCTATGTATGTAAATCATATTTTCTTCATTCATCTGATGATGGATACCATGGTTGATTTCCTGTTTTGGCTAGAGTGAACAATTTGCTATAAACATGATGGTGCAGATATTTCTTTGATAGAATACATTCATGTCCTTGGATATATACCCAGAAGTGACTTCCTTATGTTTTGATTTAGTTGCCTTGTTGGATGATATGACCAGAACCAAAGCACCCACAGAAAAAAGTGTTTAATTCATCCTGGTCTCTTATAACCCTTTTTTGATTACTCAAGGGTTCGCTCAATTCCTGATAAATTCTCCTGGTTTTATCTCCAAATCACTGTTGAAATCTCTGTCACCCATCCAAACCTGCCATGACTTTCTCTTTCCAGCTTCATCATCTCCTCCTAATATATTATCAGTGCTATTGGATTCTTACACCTCCCTCCTAATGTCAGGTGAAAGCTCTGTAGAGCCGCCTTTGGTATTGCAGTGGCATTGTCTCTCTGACACTGCCTGCTTCCACCTGGTCTTACAATTGCCTTCCATGCTTTCGTTTCTGATTTTCCTTTGTCGGCCTCCTCTTACTGATCAGCACTTTATTCAGAGCTGTTAGTCTGTCACAATCACTCTGAAACATGGATTTCAGTTTTGTTTTGTGGCAGTGGTTAAGTTGTTCTTTCAAATGAGTGAGCAGATACTAGAAATAGAAGTCACTTTCCCAAAATCACACAAAGTTGGAGGTACAGCAAAGTTTTCAAGTTCAATTCCTTTTGCTTTAGATCAAGCTTTCTCAGCATGGTCACCATTGACGATATGAGCTGGATAATTTTTTTGTTTTAGTAGCTGTCCTCTACATTTAATGGATATTTTTCAGAATGCCCTTGTCCCTAGATGCCAGTCACTATTGATCGCCCCCCCCACATATATGCATATTTTGTAATGACTCAAAATGTCTTCAGAATTTTCCCAACACATACTCTCAAAGATTCTCTCTAATTGAAATGCTATTTAGCTAACTCTCTGCCGTAACCAGAAGATGTGATCTAGAGCTACAGGCTTTCCACTATTTTGTTTTTCTCTAAGTCAGAAGACCATGCCTTTTCAGGGCCTATTTCTTATTGAAAAAAAAAAAGTTATTTCTTCATATATTCAGCCAAGACTATCATGGAAATGGGGATATGAAAGAACCAGTCAAGCAAGAAAATTGGAATACTGTTATAATAGCACACTTGTCTGAGCACAAGCATTATGTCTTACAGAGGGAGAAATATGGATCAAGTCCAGGTGGTGAGAAGATGAATGAAGATTAAAAGGTATTTTCAGAGAACACAAGGATACATGTGCACAATGTGTTATTCAGTAGGGAATAAATACTTCAGTGTCCTTGGCTTTCAGAACACAAACAAAATTGTATTAAATAAAAAGGATTCTTTTCTAATCTACCAAAAAGGTTAATGTCCGCATAAGTTATTAAAGCAGAGCCCTGATGATTAAAGAGTGGGGGAAATGGTATTATGTTTCCCTTTGACATATGTCATGGGGCACTTGTCCATGTTGCTAAAGCAGATAGTCATGCATTATAAAACATTCAAGAGCACTTGGTTAGACATCTTAGAGAAGGGAAGACGGTAGCAATAGATTTAAACTATGCTGCTAAAAATAAATGGTAATAAAGTAACAGATCTTTAAATACAATAAAAAAAATCGATGTCCGGATGATTCATTTGAATGATAAATGCCCAAACTATATTCAAATTCTTTGCTAATGGAAAGACAATGGATTTCTTTTGGGGAAGTGAGTTGTTTTAGCTTAGTGGTTAAGAGATCCTCCTCAACAATGAACTTCCCATGTTCATGTCCAAGTTCATCTGTGATGGCAATGGGACTTGTGAGACTTTCCTTATCATGAAGCTCTCAAAACACGGTCTAATACATGGTTGGTGCTTAGTAACTATTGTCATTATTATATTTTATGACACTGAAAACGTTTTTCTTGTTGAAATCTTTCCACATCAAAATGTGCTATGTATGTATTCAGTTACATATAATTTATTGTACATTAAATTTACTTAATGCTAATTCTACTCCTTTGAAGGGGTACAGTTATCAGAAATCTCCATGTGATAGACCTGTAGGCATTTCAAACTAAAGTCACTTGCTCTAGTTTTTAATCAGTTAAAAAGTATTCCAGAGCCCAGCACAGTAGCCTGGCGGCTAAAATCCTCCCCTTATACATGCCGGGATCCCATATTGGCACCAGATCATGTCCTGGATACTCCATTTCCCATCCAGCTCCCTGCTTGTGACCTGGGAAAACAGTGAAGGACAGCCCAAGGCTTTGGGAACCTGTACTCACATGGGAGACCCAGAAGAGTGTCCTCTTTCTTATTATTGGAAATGCAGATATGCAGAGAGAAGGAGATATGGAGATAAAGATCTTCCTTCCACTGGTTCACTCCCCAAATGGCTACAATTGTTGGAGCTGAGCTAATCCAAAGCCAGGAGCCAGGAGCTTCTTCTGGCTCTCCCATGTGGGTGCAAGGTGCCAAAGCTTTGGGCCATCCTCAGTTGCTTTCCCAGGCCACAAACAGGAAGCTGGAAGGAAAGTGGAGCAGCTAAGACAATACGTGGCACCTATGTGGGATCCTGATGAGTGCAAGGCAAGGACTTTAGCCACTAGGCTACCACACTGGGCCCATTAAATAAATCTTTTTTAAAAAGAAGTATTCCAGATTTTCTCTTTATCAATACTTTTTTTTAAGATTTATTTATTTTTTATTACAAAGTCAGATATACAGAGAGGAGGAGAGACAGAGAAGAAGATCTTCTATCTGATAATTCACTCCCCAAGTAAGCGCAAGGGCCAGTGCTGTGCCGATCCAAAGCTGGGAACCAGGAACTTCTTCCAGGTATCCCACGCGGGTGCAGGGTCCCAAAGCTTTGGGCCGTCCTCAACTGCTTTCCCAGGCCACAAGCAGGGAGCTGGATGGAAAGTTGAGCAGCCGGGCTTAGAACCGGAGCCCGTATGGGAGCCCGGGGGGTTCAAGGCAAGGACTTTAGCCGCTAGGCCACACCGCTGGGCCCTATCAATACTTTTAATTTATCCATTTTCTTAAATTCCCAAAGATACTTTCTAGTTCTTAAAGGAGTACCTTCTTACTAATTCTAACGTACAAGTGAGTACTCCTCATATTCTCCCTTCTCTTAAAAAGTTGCAGATCACTTCATGGAAATTTGGTTTGGAAAGTTCAATTTAATATTTCCAGAAAGCAAAATATTCAATATTGCCAACACCAGGAATAATTTTGGTAATCTGCAAATTTTCCTCAAATATTTGTTATAAATTAAAAGAATTTTAGCATTCGCTGATAGAGCACCTTAACTAGTCTCACAAAAATTTAGTTAGGAGACTTCTTACTTGTCTTTTTTATCCTCCAAAATGCTTAATATGAAGTAGCTAATTAATATGTTTCTGTTAGCTAAATTTACATAAAGAAGGAGCAAGTTTGATTGTAAGGTGAAATATTCACTCTAATTTCTATTCTTTTTTTTGCAAAACAAAT